CATCAACATCAGTGACCTCATCAGCAGCAGCAGCAGCGCATCAGTGACCACCATCATCATCATCATCAGTGACCTCATCATCATCAGCAGCAGCATCATTATCAGTGACCACCATCATCATCATCAACATCAGCATCAGTGACCTCATCATCATCATCATCAGCAGCATCATCAGTGACCTCACCATCATCATCATCATCATCAGTGACCTCATCATCATCATCAGTGACCTCATCATCAGTGACCTCATCATTATCATCATCATCAGTGACCATCATCATCATCAGCATCAGTGACCTCATCATCATCAGTGACCTCATCATCATCATCATCATCAGCATCAATGACCATCATTATCAGCAGCAGCATCATCAGTGATCGTCATCATCATCATCGTCATCACTGACCACCACTACTGAGTGACCACCGGTCACCTTCCTCCTCCTCCTCCTCCTCTTCCTCCTCTTCCTCCTCCTTTCCCAGCCCCTCCCCCCCTGCAATCCCTCATTAACATTAATTAATGAAGAGGCGCTTAATTACCCGCGTTGGGGGAGGGGCTGGAAATATTTTCGGGGCTTCAAAAATTGAAGTTTTTGTTAAGTTTAATAATTTAATAAATGTGAATTTTTGGTTTGTGTCGTTTTGAAAATCTTTTCTTCCCTCACGAATTTCTCAAGACTTCCATTTTTTTCTCCTCAAAATGTTTTTATTACAAAAAAAAAAACTTCCCAGAAAACACCATTTCACCAAAAAATTCCGTTTTCTCCCCAAATCCTTTTTTTTTTTCTCGGAAAAAATCCCAGATTTCACAATAAACTCAATTTTTTTATTTTTCAGGACGCCCCAATTTAAAACAAATCCACTTCTTTTCCTCGGAAACATAACTTTGCCATCAAAAATTATTTTTTTTTCTGATAAAATCACAATTTTCTCACACAGAAAATCCCTTTTTTTTCCACTCAAACCCCCATTTTCCCCCAGAAATTTCCCTTCAATAATGAAAAGTCTCCTTTTTCCCTTCAGAAATTGCTTGGAGTGTCCTGAAACCCAAAAATCCGAGAGATTGAAACTTTTGAGGCTTTTTTGGATCCTTTTTTTGTTTGTTTTTGGAGCCTTTTGGATATTTTTTTCCTGAAGTTTACTTGAGCCATTTTTAGGCCTTTTTTTTTAAACCATTTTTTTTCCAGATTTTTTTTGTAATCTTTGGGCCAGATTTTCCATTTTTTTTCAATATTTCCGCCCCTCTTCGCCACCCACCTGTCCCTGGAGTCACCAGCCGGGGTCACAGCAGCGAGGTCAGCGTTTATTGTCACCGACATCGGCGTTTATTGTCACTGTCGCGATAAAAGCGCGGCCAAGCAGCGGCGCATTGCCATGGCGACGGGAGCAGGCTTTAGGAGTAGGCAGGCCGCAGGCTTCATTGCCATGGCGACGGGAGCAGGCCGCAGGCTTCGTTACAGTGGCAAAAGGAGCAGGCCGCAGGCTTCGTTACCGCGGCAACAGGAGCAGGCCTCGGGAGTAGGCAGGCCGCAGGCTTCGTTGCCATGGCGATGCGAGCAGGCCGCAGGCTTTAGGAGTACATAGGCCACAGGCTTCATTACCATAGCAACAGGAGCAGGCCTTGGGAGTAGGCAGGCCACAGGCTTCGTTAACGTAGCAACAGGAGCAGGCCACAGGCTGCAGACTGTTGCCATGGCGACAGGCACAGGCCTTAAGAGTACACAGGCCGCAGGCTTCGTTGTCACGGTGACCAAAGTAGGCCTTAGGAGTGACAAGGCCGCAGGCTTCGTTGCCATGGTGAACAGAGCAGGCCGCAGGCTTCGGCCTACTCCAGCCTGCGCCATTTTTGCCCCTTCTCCCCC